GTTTCTCACTTGTTTATTTGCATGGGCAACCCTACACACAAAACCAAGTTATCATGCTATGACTTTGTATTATAATATGTTCAGTATAATCCTTGAAATCATTACCTCATATTTTGGACTTGGACCATTACTAGTATGTTTAACATATCACTAATATTGACAGCATTGTTGATATGAATAGTGTAGGTTGAGAGTATCACCATACGTGATGCAGCTAGAGATATCAATTCATGACACTCAATATAGATAGCATCAATCTCTCTGTGAATTCTCAATGTCACTTCTGTGCAAATCTGTGATATTTACTTAAGTTTAGTCAGCAAAGATTTATACCCTATGATATAGTAGTCGATTCTAATGTGCAGCATCTACACAAGCAAAGAAATATATTTATACCACACACTTAAACAACAGACCTTATGGACCATTGGAATGCAATGAACATAGTACAGCTAGTACATATTAATTAGTACAGATTAGAATTAACACTGTTTTGTAATAAATACATCATTGGGAAACATCCACAATAAATGTTTACCAGGTAAAGTATTTCACCAGATATGCACACCAGGTAGTGTTCCTTTCTTCTTTTCTGCTCACCTTGCTGTCAATTTTATTTTATTTGTAGTTGATAGATGGTAATTCACGGCATGGACATGGAAACTTCTTAGTATTGCCAGATGCAATGTTGATATACTTTATTACACTATATGTGAACTAATCACATCAATATTAATCTGGTAACACCAAGATCATCTTTGTAGCTTCTATGATTCAACCTGGAATAACCACATTATTGTTTTTTTTTGTTTTTGTTTTTGCCTGTCTGCATGTATAGTAGTTGCAGGCAACCCCTGTTCGAGTAACCCTTGCACTCCACCACAGAACTGTTACTGGACACCAGACTCATATATATGCATATGAATCTGGAGCATAAGGTATCTAAATGATTAATTGCACACATCCTGCACGTTTAATTTGATTGAATCCTCAACAGCTAGAGTCACATACCCATATATTGTACAATTTGTATCCATTGGTTTTCAAATTACTGCAAAACATACAGTGCCATATGTATTGTTACAAAATACAGATGCTTGGATACGTGTATATTATATACACTTTATTACAAATTGTGATGTTCTATATTTCACAGTACATGTATTCATATGTAATATGGTAATTGCTGGTATAATTAGAGACATTAAAGTATGTGATAATAAAAACTGTTCAAATCAATGTATTACATGAATTAAATATATGCATTTTGTTTTTGTAGTATTGTAAAGTACCTTTCACCTACCTTAAAAAAGATGAAGAAAAGGACTTCACGCTACGAGGAAAGTATAATTGCAGTTTTCGTTGAGTTCATCACTAATCTAATTGACTAACAATATATAATTGAATTAACTGTAGCCTGTAATTACCACAGATCATTCGTACTAGGGAATTATATACTCAATTATTATTTAGAGTCAATAATCTAACGGTGATGTTAGATGATTATTTGTAATTCTCAAAAGTCAATCGATTAAATGTGATTCCAATATAGTATAAAAGCAATAATTCTTCTTAATTCATTTATGATCAATATTTAAATATGTATTATATTATTCAAATATAATTACATTTTTAGTGGAAAATATTTATAAGCTGATAATTAGAAAATATATGTACTAACACTTTCAATTAAATTCTTTGTTTGCTTTTCTGAGTGTTGAATATTTAACATTCAGTTTTTAACATGGTTATTTACATTGACAGTGACATTCCATGCAATATTTTGTTGAACCATGTATCAGTGGTAATTATGTTAAAATGTTAGTAGACTATATATACAATGGGTTTGACAGTTATAGAATGAATATAGGAGTAATTTATGTTAGAATATTAATTACTGGCACATTGTGAACATAGACACTCAACAAGCAATATCTTAAAGTTCACGACAGGGAAAATGTGCATCACTACTGTAATGTGAAATTCAAGAGCAGTCACGCAAATTGTGAGATGAGCCAAAGCAAAATCATGATTATTTCTTTTTTCATGATACATTGTACCTTTTTTGCATAATACGGGCAAATATAACTGCATACTCTTATATTATAAATCAACACTATCAGAATTAGACGTTTTTATGACATATAGTTTTACATTATCACACGACAATGTAAACCTCTATTGGCAACATTTATTTTAACAGAAATTTAGTTTGGTTTGTTTAATTCTGATGGTGGTGATTTATAACAATAATGGATGTCCTACAATGTCATATTGAATTTGGAGACGCGATAATGTGTTCGGCTTCACTTCAAGTATTATCTAGCCCCCCACATCCAAGACGCTGTGGGGGATTCATTATTTTAATAAATCTTTGATACTATCAAAGATATTTTGAATAAATTATTTTTGTTAATTGTATTGATTTAATGAATTCTGGTAATGTGAAACAAAATGTGCACCACATTATATTATCATATTCTATGTATAGTTTATAACGCGTAATAAATCTTCTACAGAGTTGTAAAAGAAGACACACAAAGTATATTCCTATGTTATTTAGTAGATGTTAACAATTGTAACTTTTAGTACTTGTGTGTTATTGTTCTAATCTTAATAAAAATCTTTAATAAAATGTTCTAATGATTTAATTTCTTTATTGAATATATCCTAATGTGCTTAAACATTGTGAAAGTGCAAAATGAAAACGACATGGGAGATGGTAATTTCAATGATACGGCTTGCAATCAATCAATATATTGACCATATTTCGTGAGGAAAAATGTTTAATGGTTAATATTCATTGACATTTTACTGTTTTGAAACTATCACAAATCTGTTTCATTAACATTGTTGGTGTAATGTTATGCTCATTAATGTCAACCACCGACCACTAAGTGTCCAATTAAACTGTATCTATGCAGGAAGTGATTTTCTGGAATTGGTAAACATAGCTTTGTTTCCAGTGCTCACAATATTGTCAAGCACGTCATCAAAACTGGCGGTGCTCTGCAAGGGACATGCGGAACTGAACAACTAGGAGAAAAGAATCTGACAATGTTTTAGACAACATTGAATATTTCAAATGCTCAAGTAAGGCTTTTAATGGATACAAAATAAGCCACAGGATTATTGAATTACTGCACACAAGTAATTTTTTTGGGCCTTCGTCCGTCAATGGATCTGTTGTAGCCACAAGTTCCGTTTTAAATAATATAAAGTTTTTCAACATCAACGTTGAGGAGTTTTCATATCTTTTGACCTGAAAGACCAATTAGCTCCATAATTTGGGTTTATATGTTTTTAAAATTTTCTTTTTCATGATATTATACTCTATCAACCACGTCTTTTACGACCCTGATTAAAAGTACGTTTTTATTGATCTGAAGCTAAGAATAACTTGTCATATATCAGCATATGTGAGCCAGAATATATACTACATGT